CCATTTGTTTTTCCCGCCGTTTTTTTGGGGGGGGGGGGGAAAAAAATTTTTTTTTCGGGGGGGGGGGGGGGGGGCTCGTGGACACAAATGCACGTATTAGACAGCGGCGCTCCCGTTTTTGGTGTGTATGTGTGTGTGTGTGTGGTTTCGCTCTTGAGACTCATCGCAAACTGTCGTTGCTAGTTCGGCTTTGGGTGGAAGAAATGAAGTCTCCCTTGGTGAGGCGGAGTGGGGGGGGGGGACTCGTGGAAACGCATCACGTGTTGGACGGCGGTGCCCCCTGTTACTGGTTTGTGTGTGTGTTCGTTGTGTTGGCTGTTTGCACCCATCGCAGATGATTGTCGTTATTGGCTCGGCATTGGCAGGTCGAAGAGATGGAAGTCTCCCTGAGGGGGCAGGCGTAGGGACTGGTGAACACGCACGCACGTGTTTCATGGCGGCGGCGCCCCCTGTCTTTTGCTCTCGTCCCCCTCAGATGATCGTCATTATTGGATCAGCGTCCGCAGCCACCGACGCCGCCACGGCAGCGCAACTGGGAGGCGAAGGAGGAACAGCAGCAGCAGCAGCAGCAGCAGCAGCAGCAGCAGCGGCGGCGGGGGGGCGAATCTCCCCAACCCCACACCTCCTGTCGGCCCCTACCTCCCCACGGCCAATGACGGGCAACAAGTCGAGCCCGTCCACCTCCTCGGAGATGGGCCTTCTCCTTCCGCAAGACACGTCCGTGGTTGTTGGGGTCGTGATGGACTCCGAGGGAGAGGTTGTGCTGTCGAACGTCAGCGGTGACGATCGGAGTACGCAGGAGGCGGCGGCGGCGGCGGGTTCCGTCGTTGTAGCCGGGGAGATGCCGCAGGCTACGGCTGGCGGGACGGCGGCGCTGGCTGAGCCGCCACCGCTGTCTTCTGCGCGAGCAGCGGCGACGACGGGCGCGCGTTCTCAGGAGCAACAGGAGGAGGTGCCGGGGCCAGCAGCAGCCTCTGTTGACCCTTCAGGCCCGCCGCCGCCCCCGTGGAAGACCTACACGGTCAAGGGAGGAGACTCCATCCTGTCCATCTGCCAGGACCAGGGCCTAAGCGTGGACGAACTAAAGGCGTGGAATGGGCTCGCGACGGACTTGATCTATCCCGGGCGGGTGCTGGTCATAACGCCCACGGCTCCGACGGAAGACGGGGCGGCGGCGGCGGCGGCGGCGGCGGTCGCCGCGACGGCGGAGCCCTCGTACCCCACGGAAGAGCAGCCTCCGCCATCGACGACGACGACTCCGACGTCCTCCTCCTCACCTCCGCAGTCGGCGAGTACGGTCGTACCTCCTTCCGCTGCACCTCCTCCTGATGCTGCTGCTGCTGCTGCTGCTGCTGCCGTGGAAGATGTCCCGACACCGGAACCGGCCGTGACGACGACGGCGGCGGCGGCGGCGGCGGCGGCGGTGCCCGAAACACAGGCAAGCAGTGCCTCCACCATCCCTGCGGAAGGCGTCGCCGCTCCTACCCATGGCGGCGGGGGGTCTACGTTTCGTCCGGTAGACGGTGCCGCGGGTGCGGCGCGCCCCGTAGCCGGCGGTGGCGGTGGAGGCGGCGGCGGCGGGAAAAAGGCGACCCTGTTGGACGAGGATACCCACGAGCTGGTGGACAAGGTGTTCTTTGGCGGCCTTAGCTACGCGCTCGTGCAGACGCTCACCGTTATCGCCGAGCGGGCCCCGGCGTTGCAGCCGGAGGTTCAGGTGAGGATGGGGGGGGGTGCTAGTTCAAGCAGCCGTGCATGCCGTAGTCGTTAGAACATTGACCTCGCATCCCTACAAAGTCGAGACGGAGCACACCGGGTTCTCACCGTACCAGGCTCTCACATCGCCAAGCGCGAAGCGCCGTGAGGTATTCGGCGAGTCGCATGAAGGGTGCGCTGCATCCTGCTAAGGGTGGTCGGCATGTTGTGCTTACTTCCTTGCATACGGACGACAGCTGCGAATGACTTGGATACCGGGGGGGGGGGGTATAGCTCTTGATTGGTGGTGGTGGTGGTGATGGTGGTGGTGGTAAGAAGATTTCGATGCATATGTAAGCGTTGGCACTGTATCTAGCTAGCTGTGGCGTATTTTTTTGTTAGTTTTACCTCGATCTATCGTGGGCCGCAGCAGGCAGTGGCACCACACGCCGTGTGTCGGTTATTCCGGGCGTGCTTGGCGTATGGTGTATCCTCCTCTCCCTATCCCCCTGGGTTTTCCAACCCCCCGCAATCGAGGACAACCTCAGCCAGGCATACGCACTCTGCCTGGCACGAGCTCCGAAGGATTCATTTCACCCCCCCCGCTCCTCCGGAGTACGGGGGGTCAAAAACCGATAAGGCATGCACCCCCCCCCCCCCCGACAGGCCCGACTCATGAAAATGGTCGGGGACGTTCTCGAAAACTTCATGCCAAGACCCTGGGGTTTCGCTGGCAGCGGCGTTTCTACCGCGGGCGGAGGGCTCGGCGCCGGCGGCGTCGGGAGCCCTCCCGTTGACGGTGTCGTTGGGGGCTTAGAGGGGCTGTCTCTGGTGTGCGAGTCGCCGCGGATGCCCGGCAAGCGCGGCGGCGGCGGCTCCGGGGGCGGCGGCTTCGGTGGTGGTGGTGGGGCTGGGGGGTTGTCTTGGTCCGCGGAGGGAGGGAGGCATCTCGAGGCTTGGAGGGTGAGAGCGGCAGATAGGGTGAATTTGAGCGTGTTTTCGGACATGTCTGTGTCTTCGTTTTTTCTTTTAGCGAAAAGCAAGGACGCATGCTGTGGGGTTGACGGCGTTGTCTTACCCGCCCCCGTTGTCGTTGGTGTTTCATTTTGGACCGGTCTCTCCCCCTGTGCGCGCGAAGAGAGGCTTGTGGTTGGGTCCCTCTCTCGCGGGTGCTTAAAAATGCCTCCTTTGAACTCCTGATGATCAGCCGTTTCCGTCCGTTTCGTGTCGGACTGCGTCTGAAATTCCCGGCTCCGCTTTCGTTTGTGTTATCTATATGTCTGTCGGTCTGTCTGTCTGTCTGTCTGTCTGTCTGTCTGTCTGTCTGTCTCCCTCCCTCCCTGTCTCTGTCTCCCTCCCTTCCTCCCTCCCTCCCAGAGCGTCCTGTTCCCAGCTCCCGGAACGAGAGCCGCCGCCGCGTCGGTGGCAACAACAACAACAATCCAACCCTACCGCGCTCTCGGCGAAGGCATTCCCGTCACCGCAACCGCAACCGCAATCGGACCCGACGACGCTTCCCTCACGGCAGAAGACACCTGCTGCGGCGGCGGCAGCGGCGGCGGCGGCGGCGGTTACCCCGACTGGTCGGAGATCTCTACCGTGTTGTGGTCGCCTTCCGCCGGAGCGGGCGGCGGCGGCGGCGGCGGCGGCATGGGTGCAGGTCAGCGGGTACGGACCGGCGGCGGCGGCGGCGGCGGCGCCGGGTTGTTTGTCGGGGAGACGAGGGGCGCGGCGCAGGCGAGGCTTGCGGAGCAGCCCGGGGTGTTCTGGGAGCTGTACGGGAGCGCGGAGGAGGGGGAAGGGGCCACGACCGGGAACGTCGTGCTGGCCCTCGAGGTCCTGGGGTCGTTCGACTTCTACTCGATACCCGCGAACGGCGGCGCGCGCGGGGTCGGGGGTGTGGGGGTCTCTGGCGAGGTGGGGTTATTGTTGCTTGTGGCGCGGTACAAGCAGGGGATCGGGAGGGGGTACTTTTGTTTTGCAGGCCTTGACGGTTAGACCGTTGGCCACGGGTCCTCGAGAGGACGGAGCAGTTACAAGCAGGGGATTGGGGAGAGGGGGTCTGTACTCACGTAGACGCATGCCGTAGTCGTTAGACTGTTGACCACGCACCCCTACAACGCCGGGACGGAGGGATGTGCCGTATTTTTGCGGGCCCCGGCTACCACATCACAAGGATGAAGAACCAGAATCTGGCACAAGCAAAGCTAACTTTTTCACATCCGGCAGGCGCGACTCAAGTACCGCAAGGGACTCCGGTCTTTGCGCGCTTGTACACAATAGGAGGGTGGGGTGGTGGTTATTGGTTGCTCTGTCGGAGAGGAAAGAAGGAGGGGCGTCGACGATTGTGTTGCTGAGGGGGGTGATGGATCTCACCGCTTGCCACCCGCTCCTGCTGGTGACGGCCGTTGTAGACTAGGGGAAGCGGCAGCGTTGTATCGGCCCCACCCGCTGGCCTATTTAGAACCGCATCGCTTGTTGTCCACAGGCCGGTCACTGTTGAACGCTTGTCTTGGGCTTTTTTTTTTTTTTTTGCAGGTGTCCCTCGACTACCGGCAGGAGATGCTGGAGCGGGCCCTGCGTCTCCTGCACCACCACGCCCTCCGGTGTCTCGACGACGCTGACGAGCGGGTGCGCATGGCGGCGTGCTCGGCGTGCTGCCGGCTCCTCGCAAGGGCCGCACTCGACGCCCGACCTGCCCACCATAGCGGTGGTGGCGGCGGCGGCGGGACTGCAGGTAAGGGGGATACCCCCACGGTCCTGTGGGATAGATGGGAGAGGGAAACATGTTTGAGCCACCCTTGTAGGAAGGAACGATTGGTGATCGGTCCTGCGGGAACGGTATTCCGTCCTCTCGAGCGCGCGCGGTCAACGGTCTAACAACTAAGACATGAAAAATAGTAGTACCCCCCCCCCCCCCCCCTTTCCCCGACAGAAACGACAAGTGCAATAACACTAAACTTGACACAAAATTGACAAGACCGGCAACCAACCAAGTGCTTCGCAACGTGTTTCGCCTTTTTGCAAGAGAGTATGCATAGGCACTGATCATGAGACAAGTGCCATCGCACAAGCGGTGTGCGTCATCCAAGATGAGACTAGCTGAACGGATTGCTCTCATATGCTATGGCGGTTCGCGCGGGGGTACAAACAGTAGAACCGGCGGCAAGCCCGGTATCCTCCGTTTTGAGAGGATGTTTGTTGTTTGTTTGCTCGAAACGCTCGGCTCACAAGAGGGAAGAACGCCTTGTCGTCGTCGTCCACCACCGCTGTTTGCTGCAGGAGAGGGAGGAGGAAGCGGACCAAAAGCTTCCGCCCCGGCCCCGGCCACCGCCGGCGGCGGCGGCACCACGGCCGCCCTCGCCGGAGCCGGCACACCCCGAGCACCCTCCCCGGCGTTCGATCAGAACCCCGCTACCGCGACCACCGGAAGGGACTCCGGTCTTGTGGGCGGGGGAGGGTTGATGATGTGGGCGTTTGAAGGAGGCGGCAGTTTTGGCCCTTCCCTGCTGGATGGTGGGGGGATCGCGGCCGGGACTGGGGTGGGGTCCGTGTTGGGGGAGTACGGGGGCGGCGGGGGCGGCGCGGCGGCGTGGATGACGCGGGCGTGCGTGGAGGTTTTGGAGCGGTTGCTGACGGTGGGGCTCCAGGACGAGGCGGTTGCCGTGAGGCAGGAGATCGTTAGGGGCCTAGAGGTGAGGGCGACGGAAGTAGGGGAAGGGGGAGGGGTAAGCATGTTTTGCATGCCTTTGCGGTTAGACCATAGACCACGCGTCCTCGAGAGGGGGGGTGGGGGGCATGGTTCCCACAGGGCCGATCACCGCTGATGACCAATCGGTCCTTCCTACCTTACCAAAGATGGCTCAGAGGGGGGGGTCGAAGGTTGGTGTGCGTGGGGGAGGGGAGGGAAGGAGAGACAAGGGCTTGCGTGTGTTCGGAAGTTACGTCGTATGAAACACGCAAGTGTATTGATTGTCGGCGACGAGAAGGTCTACCGCCTGGACATGTATATTTTTATGAGTGTGGGGGGCGCACTCAGTAGTCGTCGTGCTTGCAGGGGATTTATTTTGTTTCGCTCTATCTATTTGCGGGCGCGTATATTGTTGGTGTACGAGAGGCGTTGCTTGGGAGCACCAGCAGGGTGCAGCCGCCACTGCTGTGTTTTCGTTGTAGGGGATTGTCAGGATGATAATAGTTGGCGAAACGTAAGGGTCAAGGGTTTTGAGGGGTGGGTTGTGTCTAACCTCCCCGCACCCCGTAGTCGTACCCCCCAGCTTCTGGGTCATCCTTGTGAAACGTAGCCTCAGCCGGCGATAAACACGGCATATCGCTCGGCCCTGGCATTGCAGGGGTGCTCGGTCAATGGTCCGACGACTGCGGTTCCGTGAGTACACCCCGTACCTTGCTCCATTTGCTCGTCCGTCGTGCCCCCGCCCCACACCTGGCGGCGCTTCGCTCACACCGCGCCCCGCCCGGCCCGGCCCCGCCGCAGACGAACCACCCCCTGGACCCCCTCGTGGCGCTGGCGGGCAACATCCAGTGCCTCTTCCAGTCGGTCAACGACGAGAACTTGGACGTCAGGCGGAGCGCCGCGCGCGTCGTCGGCAGGGCCTCGCGGCAGCAGTCCACCATGGTCATGCCCTTCGTGAGGGTGGCCCTCGTGCAGCTCGGGAGGCACCTGGACGTGTCGCAGGACCCGTTGGTGAAGCGGGAGCGCATCCTTATCCTTACGGACCTGCTCACCTCGGCGGGGTCCCTGGTCCGGCCGTACGTGTCGAGCATCATGCCGCAGCTGCTGCTGGAGCTGGTGGGGTCCTCGGGGTGCTTGGGCGGGGTCGGGGGCAGCCACAGGCTTTCCTACCTGCAGCATCGTCCGTCAGGAACTGGTACGGTTGGTGTTGGTGTTGGTGTTGGTGTTGGTGTTGGTAGTGTGTGATGGTGTTGCTGTTGTTGTTGTTTTTATTGTTGCTGTGTTGTTGTTGGTGGTGGTTGTTGTTGGTGGCGGTGGTGTTGCTGTTGTTTCTAGTCGTTGTTATTCCTCGTTGCTGTTGCTGTTGGTAGTTGTTGTTTTATTGTTTCTCTCACATTAGCTCTATAGTCCACAAAAATGGGGAGCCCGTGGTCGCAAAACCTGGCACATTCGACGCCGCGGGGAAACAGAACAAGAGTAGAGTACAAACCACTCGTAAAAAGAAAACAAAATGACAGAAAGAAAAGAACAGCTACCGCACCGACCAGTCGAGAAAAGGAGCCCTAGGAAACCGATCAAAATAAAACAAAACAAAAATAAAGGCAAAAATAAAAGGGAAACAGGAGCGCTTCCCGCACCCGCCTAAAAAAATCAAAGGGTACCGTACCAGCATCAGCACGACGCACCAGGGCATGGGAGTAATGGGGGCAACAGAACAAAGAGGCGGCAGATGGGCAGACAGCCATCTATATAAAAGCAAAAGCAACGGGAAAGGGAGATCAAGGTACCCAACAAGGCAAGGTAGTGTTTGGTGGTGGTGTTGCTGTTGTTGCTGTTGCTGTTGCTGTTGCTGTTGTTATGGGTGGTATTGTCAGCCCTTCTCAAGGATGGTTGCTTGGTACAACCTGGTCCAAGAGCGAGGAGCCTTTCGCGAGCCCCGATTGATTGCGCACGACCGCAGAAGGGAGATGGACCCCACGACTTGTTGCAGTCGCCTGCTGCAGCTGCTTCTAGTGCTACCGCCGTTACCGTTGATTGCTTATTGTCGCGACTGCTGTCCATATGCCGACAGGCAGGACCGCACCTAACAAACACAATAACTCTCAAATCACACCTCCGCGCGCGAGCAGACCCCCTGACCACACTCGCATGTATCCAGGCACGCCAGGACAGACAGAAACCAAACCCCAGAAAGAGAGACTGTCACACCGGCCGAGGTGCATACCCTGTAAGCGCACCTGAACAGATTTTTTCCTACGCCCAGGTGGTAGAAAGGTGGGGAGCGGAGGAGGGGTTTCGGGTGCCGGAGGCGGGGGGAAAAAGGCCGGGGAAGCGGGGCTCATGTCGGCTGTGCTGACCGCCGTTCTCAGGGCGATGGGCGTCCTGTCCGTGGTGAGCGTTGTTTGACCGATTCTTGCGTGTCTATGTTTTCCAGCCACCCGGGTGCGTCCTGTCCTCTCTGTCGTAGATAGCCACCTCTCCTCCCTCCTGATCGGTCAGGTGAGGGAACAGTGCTCTGTCCTCCTCTCGAGGACTCGTGGTCAATGGTCTGACAAGGCATGCGATACATGAGACCCGCTTGACCATCGGCGATCGGCCCAATGCTCCGTTCTCTCGAGGACGCGT